CCCACCCTGACGTACGAGCGTAACTCGAGTCGGCCCTGGCCGTCCGAGACACAGAGCAGGGCGGCAGGAGCACTGGTGCCCGGGATGAAGCCTGCGGGGGCATGGGGAGAAGTGGCAGCAACAGAGGCAAGTAGCGCAGGGCCCGTGCCAGTGGGCGGGGCCAGAGCCGGAGGTGGGCAGTACCCAGAGTGGGGCGGCAGGAGTGCGGGGCCTGCATCGGTGCCCAGTGGCAGGGGCCGGTGCCCAAAGCAGTGCGGCAGTAGTGCCAGTGCCCGGGCTGGCAAGTGGGGCCGGAGAGGCCAGCGGGCAGGTGAGGGGGGTGGGGAGAGGAGGCAGTAGCGAGAAGCAGTGAGGGGGGACCGGGCTTGAGCGTGGGACCTGTGGCAGTGCCCGGGGCCGGGACTGGCAGGGGCCCAGAGCGGGAGGGCAGGGGCACAGGCCCAAGCTGGTGCGTGGGGCTGGAGCGCCAGCAGGCTGGCAGGGGAATGGAGAGAGGCAGCAGCAGGGCAGGCAGTAACCAGTTAATCTCTACTTATATTCATTTCTATGGGGAAATGGGTTGCGCTTAGCACGGTTCTGCTTAACGCTCAGTTTTGCTGGAACCAATTCAGAGCGCCAAGCGGGGGTTGCCTGTATCTTCTATTAGACCAACTCAAATGCTGAGTTTGCTTCACTTCAATTGCTGCAATAGATCAAAGAACAGCAATGTTAGGAAAGGAGCATGGAAACAGTAAGGAAAAATTCCTTTACTGTCCAAGCCCCCAAGACCTGAAATAGACTCCCTCCAGAAGTAGCGCAGGCATCTACTCTGGACTCATTCAAGAAACGTTTGGATGCTTATCTTGCTGGGATCCTTTGACCCTAGCTGACTTCCTGCCCCTGGGGTGGGGGGCTAGACTTGATGATCTTCGAGGTCCCTTCCAGCCCTAACCTCTATGAACTCTATGAAAGTTCTTTGACATGCTGCTGAGCAATCAGGGAAGCAGAGGTAGGCCAAGAGAAGGGGGAGATTCTTATGTGATTCAGGCACTTAAAGGCTTTGTTACACATTTAATTTTAAGTGGTTCCTGGAACTCTTCACTGTGCATTCATATGCATTGTCCACATATTAACATATGAAACTAAAAGCCAACAGGTGTAAGGCCCAGATGCCCTGAACCCATAAGTACTCTTCTCCCCAGAAACAGTAAGAATTTCAGCTTAAAGAACAAGAAAAATAAACTATAAAAAGGGAAAAGATGTGTTTAAAATATTTGCAAAGAAATGTGTCAAGGAAAAATGGGTCCTTGCAAATGTATAATTTGCTGAAAGCAGCCCAATGTCCAAAAAAGATAAATATATTTCCCCAACCTGTCAGTGTCTGAAACTACTTGCTCAGCACAGAAAAAATAACTTCTAAATAAAACCAGAGGCAGAATTCTACTTCACAGTTAAAATGCATAAAATATACTTAAGCCACTTTCAGTCTTTAAAATGACATATGACTTCACCTTGAATCATGGTTTAAATCACATGCATATGACTAAATGCATAAGTAACTATGGTGTTATCCTAGCAACTAAGTTAGTCACTACTGAACATGCTCAATAGCAATTTGGATACATTTAAGTCCATTAATGCTCTATTTTTAAATCTTAACTACAGATGCCCAGAAGTGCAATGTAAACTTCCATCTGCCATAAGCAGAACTAGTGACTTCTCCGCATGGGCCCCACTTTTTCCCAGCAGCATACTGGTAACAGTATGTGTCTACCCAGAACACGGGATACCCTGAACAAGGGAAGAAGACTACTCCTCAGGTCCTATGCCAGTGATTCTCAACCAAGGTGCCTTGAGATCCTTTGAAGGGTGCCACAATGTTAGTAGTTATACAAGCATAATTCATGAGATACACCCAGAGATTTCAAATAGGAATCCACAATGTCAAAAGCATTCAGACTTTGTGGTCTTTCTGCATTCTTTGCAACAGAAGGATTGCTCTCTTATTTTTCGGTAGTCAAACAAATGAAAACTAAGAAGTGAGGGTGACTTGAGTCTAACAAGGGGTGTCTTGAGTCTATAGAGGTTGAAAGCCACTGTTCTATACCAGCCTTCATCTGAAAGGAACTTAAACCCTTACTTCCCATTTCATAGTACAGCAATTTAATTATCAGGCCACACGCCAAGAAGGTCTGAGAATGACTTCTTGGTAGGGCTACGGCATTGGGCAGACAAGCGGAATAAGATTCTGGAAATAAAAGGGATCCTAATTCTGTAGCTTGGAGAAGTGACTTCTCTCAGCCAGACTTATTTCTGTGCTTCTTGAGGTTAACCCACTACGTCTTACATTTAATATTCATTAGATAAATATTGTGGGGAGGTATCCAGGCTAAACCTAGAGACCTTTTCCACCCAGATAAGTACCCTTCTTACTGAGCAACATACCCTCTAAGTCAGGGGTGACCAAGATATGGCTTGCGGGGCTCCATGGAGGAGCCACAGCAATTACAACTGCTGCTGATCCTCCTACTGCCAAATTTCCAGACCTTTGGGGAACCCAGTGGACCAAATTACATGGCTGTGTATGCAAGATCAGGCCTGCAGATTGGCTCTGTGTGTTAGATCAGAGCCAAACACTGATCCTCCATGCTGGATCAGGCCTGTGGACCAGTCCCATGCACAGGAGCCATACTAGTGAGATGTATCTGGCCTATGGACTAGCCATGTACCACTCATCTGGCTCATGGGACTGGATGTGTTGGGCACCACTGCTCTGGGTTCTGCTCATCCTACTAGCTCCACATACCTCTCTCATGGCTGCCTATGTACCTAATATATGTCATAAAATCTTCCATAAATCTATGACCACAAGCCACCACTGCTGACTCTCCTTCTACAACTTTGTAGATATGGGTTAGCCCAGGGATGTCAAAGATAAGGCCTGCAGGCTGGATCCAGCCTGTGGAGCTCTCAGGGCCACCCAGTGTGCTGCATAAGGTGCCTGCTCCAACCACTACAGGACTACACTGCACATGGTACTTGCTCAGGCACATGAACTGCATCAGCAGAGTGGCTGCTGCATGTAGCACAGCTCCAGAGTGGCCACTGTGTGCAGCACAGACTTGGAGAAGCCAGAAAGGGACCATGCTGCATGTGGCACTGACTCCAGCTGCTCCAAAACACATGTGGGATCCAGCAGGCAGGGCAGGTCTGTGGGCTTGATCCAGCTTGTGGATCGAATCCACAACACTCATCTGGTCCTGTGGGCCAGATGTGTTTGAAACCCCTGTGTTAGCCAATGCAAGACAGTGTTCTCACTGGAAATTCTGGTCTAGATTCAGCCTGTCTAGCCTCATTCAGCCACACTTAAGCATAAGTTTAATCCTCACTGATTTCACAAGGAATAAAAGATACATATTTCTGTTTTGAACAATTTCTGGAAATTATTTTTCCCCTTGATTGTAGCAGAAGGAAAAGTATTTAGCCCCAGAGTTACAGCTTGAAAACTGCAGTGACAAAATATGAAAAACTTATACTCATGGGGCGCATCCAGACAAGCACACACGTGCAATTTGTAGCATAGCAAACCCACCTGCAGTGCCACAAACCACACACAGTGCATATGCAGGCATTCGCCATGCTGCTTATTTTCTGCACGGTAGGGTTTTTTTTGATAGAGGGAGATCCCAGTGTCAAAAAAATCCCTGGGCGAAAAAAGCAGGGCGGTGCATGTGGCGGCACTGTGTGCTGCCCAAAACCAATGCCGCACTCTGGCTGACAGCCAGGCTCCTTGCACCCAGATCGCTGCCACTGAAGCCCCAGGAAGCCCCCAGGACCTCAGGTAAGACTTCTGGGGCCAGCCCAGGTGCTGGCACCAGCCTGCCCTACCCCACCCGGGGCAACTTGCCATGCACCAAAGCACACATCGCATGTGGTGGCACTGTGTGCTGCCCAAAACCAATGCCGCACTCTGGCTGACAGCCAGGCTCCTTGCACCCAGATCGCTGCCACTGAAGCCCCAGGAAGCCCCCAGGACCTCAGGTAAGACTTCTGGGGCCAGCCCAGGTGCTGGCACCAGCCTGCCCTACCCCACCCGGGGCAACTTGCCATGCACCAAAGCACACATGCAGAGGTGTTCCCCAAGGACAAGTAGTCACAGCACAAATATGTTTCACTGCTATTTGTCCCCTGAGAAATGCACATTTCTGTTTGAAGGGACGCGCCCATGGTGTAGGTTTGAGGCAGTCTGTTTCCTCCTATACTGTAAGTGCAGGAAGTACTTTTGTTACAAATCTCCCTCTGACTTCACCAACAGCAGGAACAGGTCCATTGTTTTCAGATAAAAAACAGTATCAAAACGAATGAGGTGATTCAATCTGCTATAAAAACCTGCTGTTACATTGCTCATGAAGACTATCAGAAGACCCTTTTGAATGGTATTAATTTAAATGTTCACATACTGCAATATTTGCATAAAAGAGTAAAATATTATGACAAAAATTATTTAATCATTGTATAATGAATGATCGGTTAAAAAATAGTGTTTGTCATGGGTTATAAAGAGAGTAATTTACATAAATGGTTGTCAAGCAGCCAAACTTCACCTACCTGATTGATCCTTCAAAGAGATTTTACACTCTTTATGATGCGGTGAGAAATCCAAAAGATATCCTCGGTGCTATTTAAATTGCAAATTATTGCAGTTAATCAAGATGCACGGCTAATTCCAGCTATAAAATAGTAGCAGTGCTTTATCGTAGCCATCTTACGCTTTTAAAAGAATTATTGGTTGTTCCAAATGAATGTATTTTCTTTGTTGTAGCTTTCACCAAGCTGGAAAATAAAGGAATGGTTAACGGGAGTTTCAGGCAACCCTGTTAAATGAAACGCTGTCATGTGATGAGATGAGAGTCTTTTCTTAAAGAAACAGTCACCTTCCAAGGGAGGTGGTGCCGGCCCCTACCCTGGGGATCTTTAAGAAGAGGCTGGATACCTACCTGGCTGGACTCATTTGAGTCCCGTTTTTTGTTTAGGGTTCTTTTGTTGTTCTCCCGCCCTGGCGGGGGGTCGGGCTAGAAGATCTATTAGGTCCCTTCCGACCCTAAAACTATGAAACTATGAAACTATATTCTTGATGAGCTGGATGTGCTGGTAAATTAAAATATCCAGGTGGCCTAAGTTACTCCAAAATAGCAATTATTTTTAAAAGACATTTGTTTTTGTTTGATTGTTTTTTGGGGGAAGTTCTCAATGGTTATGCATAACAAATAATCGAAACTTCCTCTTGCATCTTATTATCAGAATTAAAACTCCCCAGTGGATAATTAGGGATTTGTATTGCTAAATTAAAGTTTAGGGGCAGGATCATTTCTTTGTGGTATAATACATAAAGACAGAATTCTGGATCATCTGCACTGAGAAGACTCCGAGTGTGTCTACATGAGATATCTCAGGTACTAACGATAACTCAGAAGCAAGGAAAACTCAGCAGATACACTGCTACCTGTACCTCATCTAGCTTTTTTTGTTCTTGCATGGCTATCTCTACATTGAACTGCACTGTACAGGGCTGAAATACTTCCAAATCTAGGACTCAGAAGAGAAATTGAGAGACCAGCACTAGGGAATCCTGAGATCTACAGATAAGGTTGATAAGGGGATCTCAGAGGCATAAGTCTGAGGCTTGCTTTGGACTCACACCAAAGACTCCCCCACCCAATCGATCCAGTTATAAATGGTAATTTAGGCCTGAAGAGTCAGAGAGAGCCAAATATGACATTGGTCACAACGCTCCTTTATTTCTCATTGGCTACCGAAGATGATGTGCTTTAACAATATTAGGCTTAGGCATATCTTTGATACTGGATGGACAGAAGATCCAGCACTCCCCCAGTTTAAGATGAAAGTTGAAAATATTTGTCTGTGGTATTTCTAAGGATACTCATCCATCACAGTAGAGAGCTTTTTTATAGACACCAGAGATAGACACCATCCTCGGGAGCCCTCATGTGGCCTTGGGTTAGTCCTGCAGGCATCTATTGCTGTTTCTTTCTTGTGGATTCAAGTTAGGTGGCTTAATTTGTGGGTTTAGAGTTTCACAGCCCTTCCTGGATGGGGCCAAGCTTCCAGTTCTGGTTTCACCAAACATCCACCTCTCTCCTGCACTCCGGGGGCCTTTTAATCCCTCCCCTTTGGTAAGGGACTGACTAAAGGGGAAAGAAAAAGGATACAGGCTGAGAAATGCATTGTGAATGTCTAGGATTTCACAAGTTTGAATCATAGCTATAGAAGTCCCTAACGAAAGGGCAATTTTTTTACCTTCTTGACAGAGGCTGAAGAAAATGCAAAAATGGGGGCTTTGTTAGCAGCCTTTCAAGGATGCTGCAGGGTGTCACACAATGTTAACACTGTTAGGCATGCAAGCATGATAAACACAGAGATTTCAAATAGAAATCCACAGTTGTGGTCCTTCTGAGCTCTTTGGAACAGAATAAAAAACCTGCTTTATTATTTTTTCTGTACTTAAAAGAAGGATGAAAACTAAGAACTGGCATTTTCCTAGGGACGCCTCAGGTCTAAAAGGGTTGAGAACCCCTGGGCTAGAAGAATGCCAGGGGAAGTGAGAGACTAGTACTGACCCTTGCAAATGCCCCATAGTTCAGATTCCCCCTTCAGGCTGGAGATGTTCTTGCTTTAGTGGTACCAGTATATGATCTGGAGTATCTCTTTATGCATCCCCTGCATTAAAGATACAGCCCAAGAAATGTTTGGCATCATCAGTTTTCTCTAAGCTTCAGACTGTCAGAGAGACATTTTAAATAGGGGATGTACGGGCAAGGTTCAAACGTGTGTAGGGACCACACATCTCAAAAAACTCCATTTGGTGGCTACTTCCCTTTCTCCTTTGAGTAGTTATCCAGATGCTTATTCTCACTCGCAGATCAAGGCCTACCACAGGCACCGAGTATACGGGGGCCTGAGAGCCCTGGTCTCCCTCGGGCAGGGGGCTGTCAGGGCCCAAACCTGAAGAAAGAAGAAAAAATGTAGGAAAGCATGGGTTTCCCCTTGCAGGCTATCAGAGTTCCAGCCTGAAAGAAGGTGCTTGGGGCTGGGGGGGTGGGGGGCAGCAAGGAGGGCCGTTGGAGTCAGGGGGTGCCACATGCATATGTGCTTGAACACACACATACAAAAAACTAGGACTCTTGGTTCCAAAATGATACCTTTTATTAGACCAACTGGAAAATGGCAAGAAAATTGTCCTTTTCTGCAAGCTTTCAGGATCAAAGTGCCTTCGTCGGGCTCTGGGAAAAATGTAGATGGTACAAGTTGGTAAAAAGTCCCCATAGGTAGGAAATAAACTTCATTTTTGCACAGAGGGAGCTGAAGATGGAAGTCTGTCCCTCTGGGTCCATGAGTGTCTTTGTGAGCTGTGCTGAGTAGCTCTTTGTTGCGTTGATCAGGTAGAATTCCTGCCCTGGAGGTGTCAGATGGGAGGCAGGGAGGCAAAAAAACCCTTCCTTGTTGTTCTGCAATGAAGTTTAAAATCCAAAATCGGCTAAAATTTGGCATCTTCCATGTTTCAGGGGTGTACTTGGTGGCTGTGCTGGTCTGAGATAAAAAGACATACAAAAAACTAGAACTCTTGGGTTTGGATTTTAAACTTCATTGCAACAACAAGGACTTTTTTTTTGCCTCCCTGCCTGCCATCTGACACCTCCAGGGAAGGAATTCTACCTGATCAACGCATCAAAGAGCTACTCAGCACAGCTCACAAAGATACTCATGGACCCAGAGGGACAGACTTCCATCTTCAGCTCCCTCTGTGCAAAAATGAAGTTTATTTCCTACCTATGGGGACTTTTTACCATCTTGTACCATCTACACTTTTCCCAGAGCCTGACGAAGGGACTTTGATCCTGAAAGCTTGCAAAAATGGACAATTGTCTTGCCATTTTCCAGTTGGTCTAATAAAAGGTATCATTTTGGAACCAAGAGTTCTAGTTTTTTGTATGTCTTTTTGTCTCAGACCAACATGGCTACCAAGTACACCCCTGAACACACACATGGCAGCCAAACAGTGGTGGAGAGTAGTTCCCACAGCTCCCTGTAGGTAAGTCTAAGAGGCCAGGGGGGAGGGAGCACAAGTGATGCATTGGGACTGCCAAGGGGGGCATAGACAGTAGACTGGTCCCTGCTGCAATGTGTTTGGACCACAGAAGAAGGGTTAACCTTAGCCAGTCTGTAGCAGTTGGAGAGTCTTAGGTAGGAAATGCCTGATCCCTTGGATACCCAACTATGTTCATGAACAAGCATGGAGACCTTTTAAAGCTTTGTTTCTATGCAGGTAGTAGGATAGGGCTCTGTTCACATCCACAAGGAAGATGTTAAAGATGATTGCTGGTTTTGTGGAAGGAATGTGGCCTATGAATTCTTTGTGGATAGCTGGTTGGCAGGTTTGTATACAGTGGGTGTGTCTACGCTAAAAGCTTTATTGAGCAGTAGACCAATCTTTTGCATGGTCAAGCATCACTGTCTACATGTGCTCACCATTTACTGCACAGTAGATTAGTGTACTGCGTGGTTGCATATTTCCTGTAAATACAGGTAGTGGATTAACTACGCAGTAACTACTACCCCATAGCACATGTGTACACTGCTGACTGGGAGCAAATTGCTCCTCAGTAAAACTGAGTACTTCAGTAAAACTCCTATCCATCAAGAAAGAACGTCAATCAGAGAAACTCTGTGGGGAGGGGTAGAGAGGGCAGAATCTCACCAAGTTCACTTAGCCAGGGGGATTCTAGGTAAAAGGAGAAGCACAGAGCTTCTTGTCCTGTCCAGAAAAAAAATAGGGGGCTTCACATGTTTCATACACATGCTACCAGTGGCTGATATGAGAGGTAAAACCTACTGTAGACTGGCAGTTAAGACCACTGCCTTTGATCTAATACCCCTGTAACTCTAATATTAGGCATAATTTCTTTATAAGGGCAAATCCCATAGCTTTGTCAACTCTAAGACAAGGCATTGGGGTTACAGCATCTATTTGTCTCTACCTCTTCTATGGTGAGTCCAGCTCAGCTTGAACTCCAGCTGGACATACTTCTTTATAGGGACCTGATGCATCCAGAATAATTTCAGGGACTCAAACAGGGGTGCTGTTTTACCCAAAGCACTCCAGTGATAGGTAGATAGCTCCATTCCTTTCCTCATCACCTTCTTACACCAAACTGGCCCTTTTCTATAGCAGAGTGTAAAATACACCAGCTGCTAACACCTCCAGAAGGCAGTGCTTCCATACACTTTCTTCTGGTTTCCAGACAGTGACAAACACCTTAGTTAATTCAGGAGAGCTGGTGTAACGTTATCAGAAAAGGGGGTTGTTCTTCCATAGTGAAGTTTTCAGCTGAGATGCATTCAAAGCTTTGCCAGCAAAACTTGAGTTTCTGTCAGCCAAACACTGAATGTAGATTAGGCCCCATATAGCTATGTGGTCTTTATCCATGTCTCACTTCTAGCTATCCAGACAAAAAATTAACCCATCAGCCCCCTCTCATGGTTAGCAGTATTCAGGAAGGTGGGAAAACTGAGTCATGCATATTGTTGATAACAAAAATTACAAAATTCCTACATTTTCCAAAGCACAGCTTAGGAAAGGGAACTCCTACATAGTCTCCATTCCCAGCAGCTGGATGTGAAGAGACAGGGACTTCCCTAGGGCTTTAGTGGTAAGTGTCCCTTTCAGATTTCATCACAGCCCTTATGATTTCATCACAAGTTTAGGCTCCCGCACTGGGAGTCTGGAAAATTTTCCCAGCCCTGTCCAGGGGGGTTGTTTCCTGTTCCAGAAACTGGAAAATCTCAACTCCC